CAGAAGATCGCAGGGAGCAGGATCTCCTGCCTGCGCGGCGTGCCGCTTGCTGTAAGCTGGGTCAGCCGACGGGACGGTGCAACTGTGACAACACATGGAGCAGGATCCAACGCCAGAGCCCTCCGATTCAGCCTACCATGTTTTGGTAGCTGGTATGCTCATGCATAGGACTTGCCCAGTACCACACCGCGAAGATCCCTGCCTGTTGTTTGTCTAAACGGTGCAGGAAGCGGTACCAGTTTAGTGCATGCTCCACACCTGCACGTGCCACCAAAGGATGAGACAACACTTTTGTGCCGCCTGAGGCGCAGCTGCAGCGGCATGTTCACAAACTCGTGACGTGCCTGAACGGGGTGTGCTGGCGTTCAGAGATCTGCTTGCAGCGGTTTTGCGAGATGGAAGTGTCTCAAGCTGGAGGTTGGAACCTTTGGTCCACGACTAGGTGATCTGTACTATGAGAAGGATGTGGAACGCCTCTCAGAAATGCGACCACATGCTGAGTGCAACATTCGGAGATGAAGAGCCAGCAATGCTGGGAGCCCGCGCAGTTTCTGATATGACCGAGGACTGGACGAAGCACATGAGTGCCTTTGCGAAAGATGATACAGGCAGCCGCAGTCCAAGAAGAAAGCCATCGGACCAGAACCAATTGAAGGCCGGAGAAAACTTCGGGTCTCTTGGGTTTCACTTTAGAGCTGTCCATGGCATCTTCGGCAACTTTTCGCTGTATCATCGCCAGCAGAATACGTACTCAAACTGATGAAAGCAGCCTTCCGCAGAATCAATTTCCAGGTGTTTCGAGAAGTAAAGGGGATGCGGTTCCGGATGGGTTTAGAAGCTAGATATTCAGTTTCGGATGATGTGTTCAGTGGGTTCTCCCGCTCGGAGAGGTGGGTTTTCAATCGGAACACTGTTTCGGGCAGTTGGTGGTAGCGATCCATTGCAGCAGCAGTCAGCATTTCCTCGCAGCATTTCTGCTTCCTGATAAGTTTGACCAGCTGTTTGGCTCGCTTTGCTAGACAGGGTGGAGGGATTGTCAGGGGGAAGGTGGAAGAGACAAGCTTTCGTGGTCACCAAAAGCAAACCAAACATGCGGGCATGGTGGGGGCTCTCTGTATGCCATGGTTGTAGCGTGCGATTCACTAGCCGTAATCAGTCACACTGTCCTCAGCAACCTTCACCAGCTGACTGCAGGCTCGCTTGACTCCATCGCGAGGAAACTCCACCGATGAGCAAGCTCCATCTCCAGAGTGATGCTCCGTTGCACAATCCTTTGCAGTCTACTCCCCGCCATCCACGTCTGGCTTGCTTTTCTCACTATGAGAGCTAGCATCCAAGGACCCGATCTTGAGAACAGCTGTGCTTCACGCAGCTACATGAGTCGCGACTGTCCAAGTGCCTGCCCCAGGAGCATGGCCGCTTGGTGAACCTATGCAGTTGGAATGCATTGGAGCTGAGACAGTGTCTAAGGTGGTGAAGGTGCTTGTGCTCTGACCGTCCGTTCCGTTTCATTTCCACGAGGATTGTCGCAAGTTTTAAACTCTTCGATTAACCCTCCAGGAATCGGAAACGTTTGACAGGCACTTGCTGCCTAAATTCGTGCACAGGATGCTGAACTCCAGTCAAGATGTCTGGAATTTCGGCGTCGAGAGGATGTACGCATCGAAAGCCTGGGCAGTGACGTCCTTTGCATCCCTCCCGCCCCCCCCACTGGGATTCCTCCGAAGATCGGAAGCTCTTCCTAAACCCTAAACCCTAAACCCTAAACCCTAAACCCTAAACCCGCTTGAGCAGGCCACAGCCGGGCCGCCTCGCTGCGTATGAGGACGCAGGTGCTCTATGGCACCTTTGCCGTCGCCTGCTTGCTTCTTGTCTCGGATTCCTTCAGGCCACGGCTACTTAAAGGATCATGGGACTTAGTAAGTAGGATTATAGCTACAGTAACTATACTTATAACCCCAATTAAGGGACTTATAACCTTACTTACTAAGTCCCATGATCCTCCAAGTAGGCGCTTAGACTGTCTGGATAACCATCCTGTGCTGAGGCTAGTCTATTACAAGCTCGAGGCAAGGAATCAGGCGGCTTTGTTCAGCCAAGTGCCTGCAGCCTTCTCCAGGCACCTGCCAATGCCGCCTATGATGCTTGGCATAGAAGCACTTCATCCGAGCTCTTAAGCAGCTTCATTTGGCTTGCCAGTTGTTTTGTGTACACAGTGCTTGGCCCCGTCTGACAAGGACTATTGGCTCACGCTGGCTGCAGGTTTGCAGGTGCTGGGTTTCACAATGCTTGCCCTCGACACTAGCAGCAGTGCAGCCGAGGCCAGCACCCACCCGTAACTAGATGCATAGCATTGCTGGACTCACCAGATCAGCATGTTTTGGATGTCCAGGGCCTGAGTGAAAAGACGCTCTGGGCACGGGCCTCGGGGTTTCCTGCTGCACCTGCAGGAGCTTCGCTTGAGAATTTGAGGCTTTCATCATTGCCCACGTCACACGCATTTCCACGACCGTGTGGGGCGAGGGCTACATCCCAGAGGAAAGGGTGAAGTATCTCGCTCCACAGACGAACAACTTAAGCCAGCGCAAATGCACGGAGGACAACACTGGCGATGTCTTCTTGTACCAGGGTCTGGAACTGCTCGGTGTGCTTGTCGTCACATTCCAGGCAAGGAGCTCAGGAGCGTGTCGCGATGGCAAGTTTGAAGAGATGTGGCTGCTCCAGGTGATGCGCCTATCTGCGGTCCGCAGCTCCCAGGACGTTGGACAGGGGATCGAACGATGGAGCCAACTTATTGGCATGAGAAGCCTGCCTGCAACGTGTACTTGCATCGATTTCTTGGCACCACCAGGCCCTGCCTTATGCCCCCCAGTGCCTGCAGTGAGATGCGCGCCACCGGGGAAGCTCATGGGGCTGCAAGAAACAAAATAACCTAAATGGTCAAACAGCTCTGCCACAGAATTTTCATATATGGCTCATATACATGCGGGTCATCATGGCAGTGTCATCGGAGGGCAAAGGCATGCAACAGCCACATAAAAGGTCTGGAGGTTGTTTGAGATTCTGACGCCAATCCGGACACGGAGAAAGAAGCATGGGTTCCGTGTTTGCAGCTGTCGTTTGGAAAGCTCAGGCGTTTTGGCGGCCATACTAGCGCACCTCAGATGCTCTTATTGGGAAACCGACATGAGCCCGCAGCAATGCAGAGGTTGCTCTGTGCCACATGTTGTGAAGGTATTTCACGAAGAGCACTGGCCATGACGACTATTGGGCAGACATGAGCTGCAGAGCATGCAACAAGGAATGTGTGTGTGTGTGAGAGAATATGCTCCCTTTGCACAAAATCTCTTTCCCCAGAAGCGGCCATCTCCGTTGCGCCGGTAAGGTTGGATGTTTTCGACGTGGATGGAAGCGTTTGCTTTGGGCCCTCAGGTCGGACATGCCTCTTTCTGAAGTATCTGCTGTGGGCCTGTTCAGATTAGGCCCAACAGCAGTCAGGTCTACTTGCTCGTCACCGGTGCCTGTGCCGTGGACGAGAGTGCTGCGCACTTCGCAGGTCTCACGCTACTTAGTCGAGCGCAATTTCTCCGTCACAGCTGTGTTGAGTAGATCTCACGGCCTGAAGAGGGACTGGATGGTGGCGGTTTCCCGACACGAACCCCAAACTCTAAATCTTCAGCTTCCGCCTGGCTTGTCCGAGTTGTGAGAGTGTAAATCTTCAGGAAGCTCCTGGCCTCAAAAGCTTGAGTCTGCGGCCGACACGAGAGCCAAGGCTTGCCTCTTCTGTAGTCTTCACAGCCTTCTGGGGCAGAGTCACCCGCGACCGTTCCGTGGCTGCTTTCGGAAGACATGTGCTGTTTTGAGTAGATGCAAGGCCTTTTGTTTTGTCCGTTCTTGCTGTTGACTCTTCCTGTCTCGTGTATGAGTCGAGAAGCTCAGGATACAAGGAGTTCGACCAAGACGGTGACCACACGCAACCTGTCGGCACCCTCCAGCACGATCTCGATGGACCTTAGAAGCAGAGCTTCGGCCAGATCTTACCTAACTGCAGAGATGCGTGATGATGAGTGGGTTGAGTTGCCGAAACATCTTCCACTCCGAAGTTGCGCGCAAGGCGAGAGCATCGAAGCGGGATGAAGTGTATCTGCAAAGTGTGCGTGCATATACCTTTGACTTCTTTATGTCTGCTTAACCTTCGGTCTCCCTCTTTCCCTTCCTCCCGCCATTCTCATCCTCTGCATGGTCGCCCCAGGTTTTTCCACGCGATTCTCACTGCATGCTTTATCCGAGTTGGTCTGTGCCGCCCTCGGCAGCGATGCTTGTGAGACAGTGCTATCGCCCACTTTCCATGACAAACAGCAGCATGAATTGAGATGTTGCAAGGTGCACAACATACGTGTATCTCTTTACGAAGCAGCACAGCCCCGAGAACCATCTTCTGCTTTGCAAGTCACGTCGTCGCTTGTACATATCCCTCCGGCCACAGGACGAAGAGGCGGCCCGAGTATGAGCTTTGTGCCCACGATGAGCTATGAGCGCAGTCCTGCGTGAGAGTGCGCGCGAAGCGCTGGGTAGTTCATCCGGGACATGCGTTGAAGCAGTGCTCAGGATGTAGCTGGAATCGAGTCTGCAGTGCCCATGGTGGCACTGACACCTGCAGGTTTGCTCGGTGCAGAGTAGCCCTTGCAAGCGGTGAGCAAAACACGGCCCACCATTGCCGAGGAGCTGCCGTAGCAGGAGCAAAGATGTGGACTAAGCATAAGAAGCCACGGTATCTCCTCTGCCTCTGCATAGATGCCTTGAAAGCATGTGGTGCGAGGGATTCCATGTTTCTGGCGCGCAAAGACCAAGGCCGTGAAGCGCAGACGTTAGCACTTCTCGGTAAAAAAGAAAGGCAGAGTCTTTTCTAAGCGGGTGCTGGCCTCTGAAGGTGCACTGCGTTCAGTCTACCGAAGCTTCGTTTGTGAGCCGATCACGGTTGCCTGAGAGCTTGATGACAGGATCGAGCGCTTCTGTACAGCAGATGTGGTGGAGACTCCGCAGTTCCACAAACTGCCGGCCCCTCAACACCATAGTCACCATAGCACGGTCCATCCATATGGGTTTGTCGGCTTGCCGTTGTATGGTCCTCCTGCTGGCCCTTGCTTTCGATTGGCCCTAAACCAGTCACGGTTAGCGAGGTTTAAAAACTACGAAGACACAACTTGGTCTGCTCTCGTACTTGTCTGTTCTCGTGTCCGTGTCCAGACCAACCCTGTGCCTGCCTTTAGCTGCACTGTCATGAGACACAGACAGCCGCCGGATGGAGTACTCTGGATGTTGCGAGACCAGGGACAGGAGGTTCATCAAGCTGCACTCCAGGCTGCTGATTAGTCTGCTCCGGCTCGGGGGGTACACTCCCGCCGTGTCTTTGCAGCTGACCTTGGATGGCCCATTAAGCCGACATGCGACTCGGTCAATCCAACACCCTGGACAAAGGCCTGCGGGCATCAGCATGGACAATGTGCACTGGCTACCTGGCAGCTTGAGCCCTAGGAGACTCAACACTGCAGGCCCTCTTGGGGCAGGTGATAGAGGGAAATGCAGGTGATGATTGGCATCAGCGGGTCGAGCAACTGATTGACGTGCTGCGCGAAACCCCGCGGAAGCAGCGTGCTCAGGGGTCAGAGTATGTAGAGTTTTCTGAAGCAGCTTCGGAGTGAACTACATGGTGGCATCCTCCACATTGTACATTTTTGGAGTGAGCTGCATTCCGACATGGTTCTGTGTCGAGGCGGACGCTGATTTTCGTCAATAGCTCCTTCCTCGGAGTACTCGGCCTTGGCTTGCCCTTCCTAGTGCAACTCAACTTGTGAGGCCTTCACAACTGCCATGTGCTGTTGCACTTCTTTCGCGACAACGGATGGCCGGTGGTTTTCCCCTCAGCTGTAGCGTCGCATCTCTGTTCCTATGGCTCGACGACCCGCCACAAGGTGAGCTTCATGAAGGGACCTCGTGGTCGAATGGGGCTTCGAGCTTGGGCTCGTGTGCACATTGCCAGGATGATGCCATTCTTCTTTTTATATTGCGTGATATGACAGCTCGGCAGAAAAATCGGGGCATGCACGAACAAGAACCCAGAACCCAGCTATGGTTCTGAGCATCTAGGCCGCCGACTGCAGAATGCTATCAGCCCGACACTGACATGCGGTACCACCAGCACAGTGGAACCCACGAACTTGCAACATGCCTACTATTGTCAAACATCTTCCGGGGAAGACATGGTAGGCACTGCGCTGCAGCCTTGTCCAGCCATGCTGCGTCTGGGCTTGTTCATAGCAAAGGCCGGATCATGCTGAAAAGGCTTTCGGGTTGGGCCCAGGGTAGGGACACTGCAGTCACAGGACGGCTCACAACCCGGGTTTGTCGGGTGCTCGTCCGGATTTCGGTGCTGCCGCCCTGGCGACACAAGCGAAGTGTTTCTTTTGGCTGCGTAATTATTAAAGCAATGTCGACGTCCACATGCTTTCTGGATCAGGTTGGATTAGTTCATAGTCGTTGATTAGCTCTTTGGATAAGGGTTTGCATGCCAATTCGACATAGCCATAGCTGCACCCGGATTGTAGCAACACCAACAATTTCGAGGGTTTCTGCCACGTCTCGAGTTGCTTGCAGCTCCTGAAAGGTTCGGAAACTCGTCAGCATCTAGCGCATTACTGCATGATCGGCGGTCACGGCCGTTGTATCTGGTCGGTGATGGGGCAAATTTGTCTGGCTTATACTTGGAGGTTCATGGGTAGTTATAACTAGGGTTATAAGTCCCCTAATTTGGGGATATAATTATAGTTACCCTACTTATAACCCCATTTATAACTACCCATGAACCTCCAAGCAGGGGGCCTCGGGCCCTCTTTGCCATGAGCTTCCATAGGAAAAGGGCATGGCTGCAGTGTACGGCAATGTACGGTGCATTCTGTGACAATGCTCGCTCGTGCGGCGAACTCGCTTGGACGCAGAGAGTCATGTCATTAGATATCACATTTTATCATACTGTATTACTATATGGTATGATATTTTAGAATACTAGATGTGACCTATATATATATATAATATATATATATATATATATATATATATATGACCTTAGGAGTTCTCGTTGTCTCGGTGGAAGGCGGCGCTTTGCCGGCGATGACCTGGCTACGGAGGCAGATAAGAGCATTGAAGGCAGGGGCTGTCGGGGTTTCGTGTTCAGGTTTTAGGGTTTGCGGTTTAGTTGAGTCGCTGCAAACCAGATGCAAAAAGGTTAAGTTTAGGGTCCAGGGTTTGGGGATGCCTGAAGAGAGCGACTTGTCGGTAAATGTTGACGTAGGTTTGGAGTAGCTTGAGTACTACAGGCGTCTATTCTTGGATGCCTGGGCCTCTTAACTTGTCGGTAATGCAGCATAACCGGAGGGTTTGCAGTAGAGAGCAATGCAGTAGAGTGCAAAGAGTGGCCAAGGATGATGAGAGGCTGCACCACAGCAGGGCAGTACTAAGAATGAGACAAGCCGTTAAATTGAAATAGTCATGACGGCTTAGAACCTGAGCGCCGAAACCATTAACCGGTTGACAAAGCGATAAGTGTGCAACAAAGTAACAAATAACAAAAGCAAGGCTCCCATTTGGAGGAGTCCAGCTCAGTTAAACCATCATCCCGATGTGACTGCACGTGGTTTGATCTCTAACTGAAACTCTCAACGGACTATATCTTTAAAGGGTTTGTCACCATTTTCTCATTGGTTCCTCTCAGGAGCAAGCTTCAGTCGCCCAGCAAAGCTGCTGCACTTCTCATCTGTCGAAACCCACCCAACAGAAGCTGCACTCTGCACTTCTGCTTCCCCACCAACATGCCATCAACTAGCCGAATCGTGATGGACAAAGAATACTTCCACTAATAAGATAACAGTAGCATTTATGGTTACCTTCATGTCATGTTTGGCTCGTTCTTATGTCATGAAAAGCTGTCGCTTTCTTCGCCTGCGCGAGTCGAGGCCTCGAGCAGGTGGTTCAGGAGCGAACCCGAGCCTCGGCCCACGAGGCCCCCAGAAAGGGCCTCGAGGTTTGAGATGACTTCCTACTTGGAGGTTCATGGGTA